CTGCAGAGTGTTGGAGGGAAGTCGAACTTCCCTGGAGGGAGTTTGTGGATCAAATCTTCGAACCATACTATGTCAAAGGCTTTCTTAATAACAATACTTACTACCACAGTGAGGCGCTTATTGTAAAGGCCAACGCATACCTCGCTTTGGAGATGTTGAAGAGTGTAAAGATTTGGCTTCTAAAGCCACTCTGGCACGAGAGGAGAATGTCGTTCTCCGAGGAGAAGGCCTTCAGTTTGTCGGCTATGAATATCTCATAAAGCTTGCTGATAGAGTTTAGGAGGGAGATGGGGCGTTAGCTGCCAGGTTATAGCTTTGGATTTGCCAGACTTGGCAATGGGGCAGACAATGGCCTTCTTTCATGGTTGGGGAAAGAAGCCGGTATTGTACGTATGTTTGAAAAGCATGGCAAACTTTTGAAGCCTCCGAGTGAGTTTGTGATTCGATAATATTTTTAATTAAGAGAAATTACTTCTTATGAGAATTGAAATTAATTTTGAGTAAAAATCAATTAACAAATTTAATAAAACATGAGATATTAATACAAAATTATACTAAAAACTTTTTATTATATTAAAATACTTTTTATTATATTTTATAATTTTTTTTTGTTTTAATAAATTGTGCTTATTTGGTATTAATTAATTTTAATAATTATATTCAATTATATTTTATTATATCATATCTTAATTTTGCATATTTTTTTTTTATGTAAAATTATTTTTTTACATTTATTTTCTTAATCATTTATCAATCATGATACTTATTTATTCCATTTAAAATTCGTACTATACTATACATTTTACTGTAACCTAAATAAAAAATTGAACCTAATCAAATTGACAATACAGCACAAAAAGGATCACTAAAATCGTACAATTTTGTAAAAAAATAAAAAAAAAAATTATATTAAAAAAAAAATATATTGATATTACTAAAACCAACAATTTTAATAAATAACATAACTTGTAGATACATGTAACTATAATTGTATAAACTGGAATAGTGATTTAATTGTATGCTAAGTTACAGTTACAGTTAATTCGCCTAAAACATGTATGGTAAGTTACCTCAGAAGTGAAATATTTATATATCTGCATATATTCCTGAGTACACATAATATTTCATAAATGTAATGTTAAACCTAATACTGAAAAAAGATACTAGATACTCTTCTGTCTGTGGCGGTGGCTCCACATGTTGATTTTTATTCAGGCAATTTAGAAATGCGTAACTAAAAGTGAGAGTGGTCGAAGCCAATCTACACAAGCTCTCACTATTGTGCTCGTATCTCACTTCGGCACTGATTTGAGAGAAATTGCAATGAAAATTGCAAATTTATTTAAAAAAGTATCTAACATGGGCACACAGATGTACGTGTAGTACCACAGCTTTATGGCGAGCAGTGATTATGGCGATTCGTAGACTAAGTCGAGATCAGAGAACCGATTAAACTATAAAAGTGCACCGCACTTTGGCGCACTTTTACAGTTTATCGCGGACGTTCATTTTGGATTTGTGTAATTTTTAAACGGTGCGGAAATTAGAGAAAAAAGAAGAAAATATTCATAAAATTGAAAAGTTTTTAAATAAATCAAACTTAATGTCTTTTATGAATTATTTTTGCGAATAACAAGGAAAACTTCATCAGTTTTCAATTTACTAGTATTTGACGTGTACTTAGACAACAAAAGTGTGTTAATTAAAATAAATTAAAATGACTTTGGAAGTATTAAAAGATCCAGCACTCATTTCCGCTAGCAGCATTTTTTATTTTTTATTGCTGCCCACCATTACACTGTGGTTCATTTATTGGCGTTTATCTAGAAGCCATTTATATGGGCTAGCCGCAAAGCTTCCTGGTCCGAAAGGATTACCTATTGTCGGACATTTATTCGATTACGTGGGGCCCGCATCGTGTAGGTGCTAATTATGCTTAGTTGTTCATGTGTGTGAAAAAAAATAAAAAATTAATAAAATAAAAAATAAATAAAATTATTATAAAATAAATTAGTAAATAAGAATTTTATTTTATTAAAAAATAAAATTTTAATTAATCAATAAATTATGTAGTTATAAAAGTGTTTAGTGTTGTGTAACAAACGAAAAATAATTTTTATAATATAAAAAAACTTAATAAGCAAAATAATTTTTAAATTAATGATTTAAAAATAAATAATATTAAATTTAATAATAATATTTTGTTATTTAAATTTTTCAAACATTTTTTTCATTTTTTTCACTTTGTATTAATTTATTTTATTTATTTATTTTTTTTTTTTTGCTCACGATAAGCTTTTGAGGTTTGGTATTTGTGTTCCATTTTATAGAATTCCACACATTAAAATAAAATTCATAATTTAGTAAATTATAATTTCACATTTACTCTCTATTAAGCTGTTTTCAAAACTGTCATACGGAAAACTGCAGAATTTGAACATGTCGCTAAAATGTGGATTGGACCCAAACTGGTGGTATTTATTTATGATCCCAGAGATGTCGAAGTTCTGCTCAGCAGTCAAGTATATATCGACAAAGCATCGGAATACAAATTTTTTAAACCCTGGTTGGGTGATGGTTTACTAATCAGTACAGGTAAACAAAAATATATATATTTGTTTTTCTTATATATTATTGATAAAAATACTGTATATAGAAGTACAATTGACAAGTTCATATATTCAAAAAAAATAAGTGAGCTCAAAAACAAGTAGAAGTGCATATTTGTCAATTTCTAACTATTAGCCATTATATGTACAGTTTTTGTGCAGAAAGTATCTAAAGCTATTAAATAAAACAGCAAAAAATTTAACAATCAGTCTAAATAAATTACAAAGTAGGTTCTATCGAGTGTAATAAAACTACGATAGTGCTTGAAGTAATTCCTTATACATATTTCGTAGGCTGATTGAGATATGATTTTTAAATTATTAAAGCACTTTTTCTTTTATGCCCGCAAGGGATTCAAAACATCTTCCCCGAAGTAATTTCGTGAAGTAAAAAAAATCGCATGTGATCATTTCAGGTGATTGCCAAAAACTATTGCACAGTAAAGCCGTATGAACACAGGGTCTGGATTCAAAGTACACTAAGGTTTGATCTAAAAAATCTTCGAAAAATGTTTTGTGGCTCTGTCTCAGAAAGAAAGCTTTAAACGCTCTTTACATTTGCAAAAATATCTACTATAAAAACCGTAAGGATGTTTAACTCTATGTGGTATCACTAAGACTGATAGGTCCATGCGTGGCTTACAGCCAGCTAGATTAAACTAACCTTATCTTTTTTTAAAGTGGAGATGTCAGCTTTTATATAAATTTATTGCGTGTTATTAAGTTATATTTTTTTATTTATTACTAAATCACGAAATTTATATTTGTTATACATTTATTAAATATATAAAAAATATCATATCATTAATTTTAAAATATAATGTTTTGTATTAACGTATATAAGTTGTTTATTTGATACTTGGATTTTGTATGCATATAACACATAGTCTTCAAAATATATTATTTTATTATTCACTCACTGAACATTTATGAATTTATAAAAAAAATATTTTATTTATTTTAAAATAATTATTTTTTATTTATTAAATTTTTAAAAAATTTACTCTAATCTAATTCATTAATTTTAAAATATAATGTTTTGTATTAATATATATGAGTTATTTATTTGATATTCGAATTTTATAAACATATAAATTTAAAAATATATTATTTTATTATTCACTCACATTTATAACTGAATTTTATTTATATTGAGTGAATTTATACAAAATGAATATTTTATTTAACTTAAAATAATTATTTTTTATTAATTAAATTTTTACTATTTTTTATAGTATTTCATTTAATAGTAATTTTAAAATAAAATGTTTTGTATTAATATATATGAAATATTTATTTGACATTCGGATTTTATAAACATTCTTCTTCTTCTTCTTCTTCTTCTTGAGTTAGTGCTATTACGCACTTTTACTCTATAATGACTGGGGGGTTAATCACTACCCCACACTAGGCTTTAACTAGGCTAAAAAATCATATCATTTATTTGTCTTTTAGTTGATGACGGACCTTAAATCAGCATATCTTCCTGAGAGTCCAGAAGTGGACTTGAGGATTGTTATGGCGGGGGTGAGTAGCGGATCAACTTTTGTGGATAATTTTTAAGCTCTAATGTCTATTTAGGTATGTACAATTTATAAACATATAATTTTAAAATATATTATTTTATTATACACTCACTTAATATTTATATTTAAATTTTATTTATATTGTCTGAATATTTATAAAAAAGAATATTTTTTTTATTTTAAAATAATTATTTTTTATTTATTAATAATTATTTAATATGTTAATTTGCAAATTGTGCCACAAGTTCAATATCCTAAAGTCTTTTGTCTAGACAACGACTAAGTAATCTAATGATATAAATTTAAATATTTTATTATTATAATGGCGCTTTCATGCCGCAAGAAAAATAAATTTCACTGATTTAATATATGTTTTAAAATAAATTTTTTTTTTCGTAAAAAAAGCACAACAAAATGAAATAATTTAATTTAAGCAATCAATGCTCGCCCCAGTAACCGCCAAATCGCATGACACACATTTTCCGGGTGTTCCTCTGCCTCCAAAGAAATCATTCAACAACTAAACACAGAAATAGCATTTGAAAAGCATTTAAAATTATAATAAAAAATACAAAAAATACAAGAAAACAAGAAAACACAAAAAAGTATTAAATTATTAAATAAATTTAAATTTAAGCAATTAGTAGAGCATTTGTCCAAAGTGACACTCGACATCATAAATACGTTCTGCGAGATATTTATACGGGTATTCATATGGAGCGCTATATGAGCAATGATAGATATGAAAAAGCGTCAATCCGCACTATCGTGTGTTTTTTCTAGTTTCCTTGTACAAAACTGCACATTCAGAACATTTAGAAGTTTTTTTTCTTATCAGGTAGGTGGCTGAAGACTGTGAAGACTGTGAAGATTGTGCAAATTCTTAATAATAGAAAAATAACAACAGCAAAATTACTTTTATAGAGCGTGGAAATTTTGTATCTACTTATGCGTTCATTTAGCAATTAAAATTTTTTGCATAAATATAAATTAAGATTAAGAATAAAGACTCAAAAATTATATGTACGACTGAAAGATTTTATAACACAACAAATAATATATATTTTTTTTTTGTGTTGAGGGGGTGGAATGCTTTATGCACCGTTAAACCGATCGTCGACGGAATGGTGTGCCCGACTCCCTAACATTAGTATCTAGTATACGGACTAAAACACCTCCTCTTCGGCGAGACTTATTCCCTCTTGGACCGTTTTCGTCTTTCTTCGAGGGGGGTCTTTTTTATGTTGGCATTACAAGCCATGCTCTTGTGGTTTACGATCTGCGTCCAGACCTACACTTTTTCACCGCATTTTCTTAATGTCTGCACTATTTATTATGTCTAAGTCAAATTTCTTCGATTTGAGGACTTGAATCACATATGACTCTATCATTCGCTAACTCTCGGGGTTCGTTCTCATCTTTTACACTATATTTCCGGGACTTATAGGTTCAATCTGTGCTATTATATTTTCTCTATTTCATATATAATAATACATATAATAATTATAAATACAGTCAATAAACATAAACAAAATATATATAAAAAAAATGTACAACGCAGTAGAGAGACTTTATTGGGTCCTTATATACGAGTACAATCAATAGAAGACGATAGTAGATACAAATAAAAAATATTATATTTTTATCAAAACAACGTTGCTCCCTTTTCGATATGAAAATAATGTTTAAGTTGCATGGTGCAAACCAATAAATTCACAATAAAGACATATAGTTTTAATTGCTCAACGCCTATAAGCATGCTTTGTTTTAATGATTACTGCATAAGCACCGTTAATTGCAGTTAGAGTCATAGTTAACTTTGTGAAACCACAATTAAGCAATTGCCAGCATTCACTGTTGGATACTTTTGATTTACTAAACTTTACCATTTGATATGCTCTTTTTTCGTAGGCTCGAAATGGCGTTCCCATCGCAAATTGATTGCACCCACATTCCATCTGAATGTCTTGAAGAGTTTCATTGATTTATTTAATGAGAACTCACGCAATGTTGTGCGTAAACTGCAAGCCGAGGGTGGCAAAACGTTTGACTGTCATGATTACATGAGCGAAGCAACTGTGGAGATTCTCCTCGGTAAGTACAAGGAAAATATTGTTTAAGTGCGAAATAAAAAGGTCAATTGAATTCTTACATCAAACAACTTAATTAAATTTTTTAGCTAACTAAAGAAATATCGTATAAATTTATTTTCCTTGCTAGAAAATTAAGTATTAAATTACAAAAATATAAATACTAATATTCAGAAGTTCTATAAAATACTCATTTAAAGTAATATTTAAGCTTAAGATAGTTTTCTTGGTCATACTAACATATATATAGTTGCAGTACCTGAACCTACCTAAATATACCTTAATAGTGGCTAAAGTATTAAAAATAGAATTAACATACTAAAGTATTTAAATACCTGCAGTACCACGATACTAATATTCAGAGAGTCTATAAAATACTCATTTAAAGTAATATTTAAGCTTAAGATAGTTTTCTTGATCATACTAACATATATAACATATCATATTTTTTACATTATGGCTGGTGATATTGGTTAATTGCAGTATTTGATAGATAGACATCCTACCGCCTCATATATTTAGCAATTACTTGCAATTTGGATATAACATACCTTCCAAAAATAGCATGTTGATAAACAATATAATCCTTTTTAGTTTATTTAGTTTAACAGATCTCTTGGTTTTACTGATAAGCAGTCTGACAAACTGTCAAGAAAGTACTGCCCCAAAAATCTCTTCCTTCTGTTAGCCACATCTAGCCAATCATAGAGAAAGTATGTCATTTCGTCGTCCTAGTTTCTGCAACTTCTACAATAAGTATTGAACGGAAGCGCAAATATACATATAACATATGTGAAGTATTTAAACTTGGTTTGATTCTTAAATAAACTAAAGAAGAGTTCTTCATTTCTTTCTTAACATGAAAACATATGGTGAACAAACCAGTGTAACTTCAAATATTTCTCTTCATCGCACTCTATTCATCGACACTTTTTACTAATGATATATTGCCATTGCTCTCATATCAAGTGCCATGTCTATTGTAAATAGTCATAGATATTTCTAAAGTTCTTGAGTTCCAGCACTTTCTTAAAAATAAATTTCACATTTATAGTTAAAAGTGGCTTTCATTAAGGTTTCATATAGGCATTTCTTTGCTTATGTTATGTGGTTTCAAAGTTCAGATAGTTCAGTAAATTATATCAGCTATCTGTGTTTCTCTAAAGTATAAACTTGTTACCGATATGTGTTCTGTGGTGTTTATATTGTTTATTTACTATATTTTTAGTTCTAGATATAAATTAGTTAAGCTCGGAAATCAAAATCATGTAACTCTTAATAAATATATATTATTATGACATTATCATTTTAAGTATAAATGTTACTCACTTTGTTACTTATAGAAATGTCATCGATCAATATCTGTATTCTCTATTCGCATTAAATACACCCATCTAACATTTTAGAAAAAATGTAGGATTTTTCAAATAATTCATACTATGGCTATGGCAGTCATTTCTACCAATTTATAGCGTCAACGAAAGCAGAAGTGGTAGTCATACTCTTTACAGCTCACACATATTAATATATATATAGTATATAGCGTCTAATCGTGCTGGAGACTTATTTATCGCACTTCTTTGGATGGCGCCCGAAGTATGTAAGACCCTCTTGTCCCTGTTCACTACTCTACTATACAAATTAATTAATTTGGTACTATAACATGTATTAACGACTATATTTTATTATCGCCACCTTGAGACTAATTGAAGTTCAATTCTGGAGACTTATTTATCGCACTTCTTTGGATGGTGCCCGAAGTATGTAAGACCCTCTTGTCCCTGCTCACTACACTACTATACAAATAAATTACTTTGTTACTATAACATGTATTAACGACTATATTTTATTATTGCCACCTTGAGACTAATTGAAGTTCAATTCTGGAGACTTATTTATCGCACTTCTTTGGATGGGGCCCGAAGTATGTAAGACCCTCTTGTCCCTGCTCACTACTCTATATAAATATACTCTATAATATATAAATAAATTAATTTGGTACTATAACATATATTAACGACCATATTTTATTATCGCCACCTTGAGACTAATTGAAGTTCAATTCGCAATTCATAGAAACGTCCCCGACCATTACGTGTATATTTATAAATTCTTAAACCTCTTGCGAATTGTTGGTATTGTTGTTGTTGTTGTTGTTGTTGTATTTGTCACTAAATTTGGTTCATTACTAAATTTTGTATTTTTAGTTGCAAATAACTTTTTTTTCAAATAACTTTGAAACTTTGCCAGTATTTTTTAACCCACCTATTACGACCGATTCCACTTATGAGATGCATAACCAATGAGTTGCATATTAATTAAAACTTTTTAGAAAATGCATTTCAAACAAAATTTAACTTTCGAGCATTTATTGAAGCATGAGTTATTATAATGCAAATCTAATTTCAATTTCTTTTACTTTAAGTTACGTATTGTCAATTTTCATTAATATTCAAAGAGATATATTTTCCATTGCGAAAACACAATGAACCGCACTAAAAATTGCATAATTTTCATAAAAAACAACAAAATATCTTGTCACTGCTTTTCTTCATAAATTTTCAACTTCAGATTTTCCTACTCACCGCAGTTGCAAGTTTTCTTCTCATTTTCATGAAAACGAAGCATGTTGGGCTGCGATCAAACTTTTCACTCTTAAAAACTCGTTGCTATAAAAACTTTGTTGGGTAAGTGGGTAAGTGGCACTTGTGGAAAAGTCGGACGAAGAAAATAAAACAAGTTTCAACTGACCGATTACGTGTTACATAACTCATAGTTACTATTTTTCCTCACATGAGATTGTATCGATTTTTTTAATTAACCTCAAGTCGTCTCGTACATTGATATATATGAGCACTTCATTTAAATAATTATAAACCTATAAATCTAAGTCTTGGTTAAGAGCCAATTTTATTATCCTCACATTACCCGTAAAAGCAAAAGCATTTAAGTTTTATTGTATTTGCATAGAGTTCCAAGTGAATAAACTGATACATCACATTGTTGGGATAGCTCGCCTAGCAATTCAAACAACATATTCCAAACGTCTTTTAAGATTAAGCGATTATTCAGTCCAAAGTCTTTTGAGCCGGCATTCATCAGCCAAGCTTTGGAATCTACCCAGATTTTCCAAAAAATGGTTATAAATAACCTTGGAGTATAGATGTTTAGCTGCTATATCCATAGGGAGAATTTTCAGTTTAAAGTTACTGATGTGATCTTTATAAGTACAGACAGTACGAACTATTCCTTTTATTTTTTATTGATTCAATTACTCTGGCCTTCAAATTATAAATCGCCCTTTTGTGTTTCTTTCATTATCTTTATTAATAGATATTTCAACTTTCTGTAGATTGGATCTTCTTGTCAAAATTTCTACAATACCAGAGTTTTTCAGGTATAGAGAGTAGGAACTCTTATCTTATTATACTCTTGTCATACGTATGATTTATTCAGTTATTCTGATCTTTATGCTGTAAATGGATCATTATTCTTTTTCATCATCTTTATTATTAGATACTTCAACTCGCTGTGGATTAGGACTCTTTTAACAATATCACAGTCTATGGTTTTGACTTGGTAATGTCGTATATTCATAATTCTTGAGTCTACTTCTATTGCTACCAGGAATGGATTTCGCCATCTTCATCTTAACTCCAGGCAATTTGTTTTCCTCTAAAGAATTCGTTAAGTGTACTACTCGTATTATCAGGTTTTTAAATAGCGAAGCCAAGTCATCTCATCCATTATGCTAAGACAAAGCAAAGATAGTCTAATTGTTTGATAGCTGCTTCAGTTCATAACTATAGCCACATAATTACAATTTTTTGTCACAGTTATCAACGAACTATTGCCAACTGTATGCCAACAAATTACTTCAAAATGGTTGAGTACTGTACGACATCCCATCAGTAGAAACACCGATATGCAAACTATTTAAAATCATAGAGGGAATCACCAATATGGTTATTAACGATTTATGGACTAACCGCGATGACTGTAAGATCGCTAGAACCTTATGCCCTAGTTTGAACAAAAATAAAACGAAAAACCATTTAGGCTTCAGCAAACCTGCAGTTCGTGTACTTACTGGAGTGCTAACAGTGCATTGTGTTATTGCGTCTATGCTCTGACGGTGGCGAATTCCAACAAGTGGATTATGCAGGAGTTGCCAAGACGAGGAAGAATCCATCAACCACTTCCTGTGTTTCTGTTCAAGACTGCAGATAAGGCGACTTTAATGTCTTGGGGATCATTTTTTCACAGGTCTGGAAGAGATAACGAAAGTAAACTTATGATCTCCTTAACATCTTTTGGAAAACCAAATGGTTTAATAAGGATAGAAGACAACAAAGGTTAGCAACTCACCGCTCCCGGCATACTCTTTGAGGGCATCACAATGGGCAATATATGCCACCGATTGAAAGTGCTGATAACTATCAGTACGCGTCTAACCTAACCAAATCAAAGACATCTCATGGGGAACATTTGAAAGATGTACAACACACCAAATATGGTAGCAAGGTCCAATGTATTATATTGAGAAAAACTTTCAGTCGAAGTTCCCAATAGCTTATATACAGATTAACTTTCGATACCACACTAATGTGTAATAACGTCTGCCGGTAGCATAATATCTTTTTTATTATAATATTTCTTTTCAATATAACCATTTCTTGTGTATAATTTTTTTTCTGAATTTTTCCTTAACTTAATTACCTTTGCACGGCAGCACTTAATTGTCATCATGCATGTTGTCTTAGGTTTCCTACAGCGAACTCTTAATGTGTGTCTTACGTATTAAGCCGGTCTTGTGATGCAAAACAGGAATTGTTTCGCATTTATTTAATGTTTTTATGTCTAATAAATATTTTATGGCAAATAAATGTTACTTTATCCAAAATATCTCTTAATAGTTTAATCGTAATAACTCATATTAATTGAATTTAATTATTCAAATTGGTTTTTAATAATCACCTCGAAGCGTATATATATATGTATATATATGAGTATATTAGTTCGAAACTATGTTTAATAGCATAAGCGATGTCGGTATATTTGAAAACTGGAAAACATTTGTACAGTATCTATGCACATCTATGCAGTTATCTTATATTTCTATTTCAAACAGATTCCTTTAATACAAAAACCCAAAGTTTGTTTCTCATAAGAGTTGCTGATAGTTTTCTGAAGTCATGTAGAACCGATTTCACAGCCAATGTAGATATTGAAACAAGTGTACTAGTAAATACTATGTATCACTGCAGTTGCCTTACGTTTCTATTTTCATAGAAATTTTCATAGATTATCTAAACTCTAGAACCAATAGATAATCTCTTGTAAGAGTCACTGACAGTTTTTAATACCTATGGTAGGTATGGTAGCTATGGAGAAGCAATTTTTAAATGAAATGAATAAACTCCGATGGAAAGCTAAAGATAAGCTATACTGGTAGTTCTGGAGCAACTCTATTCTTGATTTTAAGAGTACAGGAACGAATTCAAAACGAAACGACACTAATTGGTACACGATGCTAAAAACCGTGAATATTGGAAATATCTATTAATAGATGCTAAACATTTCTATAGTTCTTTAAAATTTCTGTTTACAATAGATAACCCAATTAATAGTTAGTTTCTTGTAAGACCCACTGATAGTTTTCACTAACCTTCAATATTTACTTTGCTTTGAAGACGAAAGGAATAAAAACGAAACGAAAGCGAATGGGCAATAATGCTAGAACGTTTGCATATAAGAAGAGATCTACCAGTAGACATTACATAGATCTACATTTATCTAACATTTCTGTTTTTGATGGACTGCCCAAATAACCAGATTGTATTCATGGAGGAGCGGTCTCAGTACACCTTACAGATTCTTCAGTCTTTAAATATTTTTCTTTATATATGAATACAAATAAATACATGCAAAGAACTAAACCAATATTAAAAATCTTCATTTCAGAAACCGCTATGGGTGTATCAAAGAAGACACAAGATAAATCCGGCTATGAATATGCATTAGCTGTTATGAAAATGTGTGACATATTGCACATGCGTCACCGTAGTCTATTTCTGCGCAATGAGTTTCTATTTACACTCACCAAGCACTACCAGAATCAAGGCAAACTACTTGGCATCATACATGGTCTGACTACAAAAGTCATCAAAAGAAAGAAGGAAGCCTTCGCGAAAGGAACACGTGGCTCTTTAGCATTAAATGACTTAGAAAAACCGATTGAAGAAAAAAACCAGCAAAAATCCAATATTGTTGAGGAAGAGAAAACTGAAAAGGAAACAACTGTGGCAGGATTATCGTTTGGTCAAGCGGAAGGTTTGAAAGATGATTTAGATGTTGATTACAATGATGTGGGTGAAAAGAAACGCTTGGCATTCCTCGATTTAATGCTGGAAAGTGCACAAAATGGTGTGGGATTAACCGATACAGAAATCAAAGAACAAGTAGATACCATTATGTTTGAGGGACATGACACAACAGCAGCCGGTTCATCATTTTTTCTCTCGCTTATGGGTATACACCAAGGTATACAGGATAGAGTTATAGCAGAATTGGACGAAATATTTGGTAATTCAGATAGACCTGCTACCTTTCAAGATACTTTAGAGATGAAATATTTGGAACGATGTCTAATGGAAACGTTACGTATGTATCCACCCGTGCCGTTGATTGCACGAGAGATACATGAAGACTTAAAATTACCTTCAGCTAACTATGTCATACCTAAAGGTGCAACAGTTACTGTCACTACAATAAAATTGCATCGCAATCCGAATATTTATCCTAATCCAAATATATTCGATCCAGATAATTTCTTACCAGAACGTCAAGCAAATCGACATTATTATGCATTCGTACCATTCTCGGCTGGACCAAGAAGTTGTGTGGGTAAGGCATAATCAATTTAAAATTTATTTACGAAACTATTTACGTGGTACTCTTTCTTTTTAGGTCGTAAATATGCAATGTTGAAGCTTAAAATTTTACTATCCACAATTTTGAGACATTATCGTGTTTATTCAGATTTAACAGAAGCCGATTTTAGACTTCAAGCCGACATCATTTTGAAACGTGAAGAAGGTTTCCGTGTGCGTCTTAAGCCTAGAAAAACACTACACACAGCAAAATAGATTATAATATATAATTTTTTTGTGCATTTAATCACATTTTTTTAATTTAAATAAAGCAAATAATATATCTTGTTATAAATCAATAATAGTGTTCTTCTGAAATTATTTTAATTACTTTAAGGTTTATTAAAAAAGATTAATTTTTGAATTAAAACGTCTTGAAGTAGTAAGAATTGAATTATACTTAAAATATCTTAAATTATAAAAGCGATTAGGGAAAGATTTTGGTTCAAAGTTTGAAATATAATCTTTTTATAGGTAGGAACAGAATTATGTTCAGATACTGGTATATAATGTTTTAATTGATTGCAAAAAAAAACATATTGGCAAATAAATGTATTATTTAAGCATTTTAACATTCATTTAAAATGTAATTGCAAATTCTGGAAGTTTTATAATAACTTATCCCACTATAGTTAAAATAGTTAATAGTAATTAAATTAGGTTTTGGTTGTTTCCACTGGCATAAATTGATTTATGTATGTAAAAGAACTTTTATATATCAGAAAGTATTGTGAAAGTTCTAGGAGAGCTTTTGTTTATTTACATTTGAGTTGATATCCAACTGAAATAAATCCTTATGATATTGTAATATATATTTGATGTATAAAGTGATTTATATATTTTTATATATCAGTTATTTATTTATTCTTACTTCAGACTTGTTGATTTTTCGATCATTTCCCTTTTTGGAAATATATTTTGCAATATTGCATTTGACATTTTTTACATAATTTTCCTTTATTTTAGTTAAAAAGCAACGCAGCTCTTTGTACGGTTAATCAAAATTCATTAGTGACCTATATCATACAGACGAAATAAATAATTCTATACATCACACCTAATGCTAGTAAGAAAATTGCAACACCGCCCTCTATATGTGATACAATGATTGTATGATCAAAATACACTATATCAATTAATATATCACTAAATTAATAAAGAAGAAATATAAAAATAAGACAAAGCTAATCTAATTGAATTTATGCAAAATATAAAGAATTGTAATAAAAAAAATTAAAATTTTCCTTTTTTTACGCCTTCTTCTTATGCCTTTTTCTTACAGCGGCTAATGATATGCCAGCAGCCACGAACATATGTTCTAGTGTTTGCATATGCAAACAGTGAAAGTGACACATCAACAAAACAATTTTAAACAAATTTGTGAATATTTTTGGAGAACATGTCTGCGATAGAAGCATTGAGAGAAAAGATTGCTGAATTGAAACAGGAGCTAGAACAAATTAAAAATGATGCGCCTGCCTCCCGAGATCGTATCGAGAAAATGTCCGCTGAGGTAGTTGACTCTAACCCTTATAGTAGGCTCATGGCCCTACAACGTATGGGAATAGTGAAAGAATACGAACAGATAAGAGACAAAACCGTAGCTGTAGTGGGTGTGGGTGGTGTTGGCAGTGTGACCGCAGACATGTTAACAAGGTTAATTGTTGTGTTTATTAATTATCCTGAATAACTTTATTTAGAATTAACTTTCAGGTGTGGTATTGGCAAACTTATTTTATTTGATTATGACAAAGTTGAGCTAGCAAATATGAATCGATTATTTTTTACACCTGATCAAGCTGGCTTATCTAAGGTGGAAGCAGCAGCACGTACACTTACATTTATCAATCCCGATGTGCAAATTGAAACGCATAATTATAACATAACAACAGTGGAATCGTTTGATAAATTTCTAAATACAATAGCAACAGGTGGCAAAGAAGATAACAAGCCAGTTGATCTAGTCCTGAGTTGTGTTGATAATTTTGAGGCCCGCATGGCTATCAATACAGCTTGTAACGAACTGGGATTGTACTGGTTTGAGTCTGGAGTATCGGAAAATGCTGTTTCTGGGCATATACAATTCATAAGACCGGGTGAAACAGCTTGCTTTGCCTGTGCGCCACCCTTAGTAGTTGCAGAAAATATTGATGAACGTACACTGAAAAGAGAGGGTGTTTGTGCGGCATCATTACCGACTACCATGGGCATAACGGCGGGTATGCTGGTGCAAAACACACTAAAATATTTACTTAATTTTGGAGAAGTGTCCAATTATCTGGGCTATAATGCAATGAATGACTTTTTTCCTCGTATGACACTGAAACCGAATTCACAATGCGATGATCGACAGTGTCAAGAGAGACAGAAGGAATATCAAGCACGGCCGAAACCAGTAGTGGAAGAGAGTGTTGTGGAAGAGGCAGGTCCTTTACACGAAGCAAATGAATGGGGGATTGAGTTGGTGGATGATTCACAGCCAGAATTGGATACGACGAATACAAGTGATGCAGTTGGAACAGGTTTGAAATTCGCTTATGAAGGTCCCGTAAAAAGTAGTGAAGCAGAAGAAACAACAAGTGTCGTTAATGATGAAGTAAACTTAGAAGATTTAATGGCTCAGATGAAGTCAATGTAAAATATTTTATTTTACTTCCAATTATTCCAATTTTTATTAAATATTGTTTTTATTTTGTTTAGTCTGTTTTTATTGTGCATTTTTGTAAATCTTTAAAAATTATTTTGATATATAAAATAAACATATTTTTATGCTTGCTTATTATAAAAACATTTAATAGTTGTATTATTTATAATATAAAGTAGCGTTTGATGTATGCACAAACTTTTAAATTCCCTATTAATAAATAATTTTGTTAGGTGTTAGTTAAGAAACTATAATAATTTAAACCGATTTCAAAATCGTTACTTAAATCTAAAATCTTGCTTAAGTATGAATTAATACTTAAGCATGACGGTTGTCGAACACATACTAGATGCTATAGTCCCTATTAGAAGTAGTGGTGTGCGGCGCTTAGTCGTCGTATTTTGTAATTCCTTTCATGACTCGTACAATATAGATCTACTTCAACACCAATTACAATTTAAGCATGACATAAGTCAGTGTTATTATTAAGTCTACGAAATTACGGTCAGTAATCCCGTAAGAGTTAAGTTACGACTATGAAATTTTAATTGCCTCTGTGTTTACACTTATAATTGTTGAACTTAATTAATACACTTTGCTATGGGTTCAGAATTAAAAATGGTTGTTGTTGTGGCACGTTAGGACCTGAAAGCAGATAATAGGTCTGTTCCACGAGCTACTTATAGTAACTTTGAGTAAACACTGTGTATACACAAGCGCGTTCCACCAGCAAATTTTCAAGTATTTTTGTGTAAATTTTACTTCCCTTTTACTTATGTTTTACTATGAGTAGCTCGTGGAACAGACCTAATATGTAAAGTTAATATGTAAGGTTTACAAGACAAATACATGGGTTAAGATGTAGATAGCTTTTGATTGAGGTAGGTGAAGCCATTTCGAGTAAATTGAGGTGAAGTAAATTGAAATTTCCTAGAGATTTTTTGCAGGCACTTATACAAATATTTATTTATTGCACTTATATATTATTTTTGGTTAAAAATTATCAAATTTTTTTATGTATTTATTAAACATTGTATAAAATTTTCATAATAGTAACATCTAATGTACTTAATTTTTATCTAATTTACCCTACTCGAAATTCTGGTAAATACCAACAATCTCTACCATACCGACATAATTTACTATTTCGCTAAATTTACCATCAATTTACTTGAACTTGCACACGGCCTGTTTCTTAAATGTTAACTTCGCTTAAGGTTTTTGTTAAGTAAAAATAACTATTTGATTATAATGATAAATATTAGTATGCAACTTAATTTTATACGCACACAGCAAACTAAAATCTATGCTTTAGTTATTATAATAAGCATTTCTTAATAAAATATAACATACCTGCTTTTGCATTATATTGAACATAGCTAAAATAATTATCTGTCATTTCTCTCAGAAAAAAGTAGCGGCTAGTTTTGTTGTCGTCGTGTCGGAGTTCTAGTATTTTGCAAAAGAAATATTGTAAAAGTCAAAATATTGTCAAAATGACTAAAAAAGAAGATAAAAATCAATCAAACGAAGAAGTAAATATACATACATTAACGTTAAAAATATTAGTTGCATGAAATTATACAATGTATATAAGTGCTTAAAGCTTGTACACGTCATGTATGTATTTCAATGTATGTTTCTTACTTTTTAGGTGGTTAAAATTAATAAATGGGATGGCTCCGCAGTGAAGCATGCACTCGA